TATTGATGAACATGTTTTATTTAGGTCAGTGTGTGGGCCCCACCAGAGCAGATTGATCAAGGTCAATTTGCTTTGGAAGTTGCTGTAAAGGTTCTGGAGTACTACGAAGACCTTTTTAAGGTGAAATATCCACTTCCAAAGCAAGGTATTTACCACTCATTGCAGTTATTGCAATTATAGCGACATACATAACCCGCTTTAGAATTGAGTATGTAATAATTTTGATTGTGGTTTTCCTACCCTGTAATAAAGGCAAAGCGGGTCTTCAGGGAGTGTACTAAAATCTGCCGTTACCCTTACGCTCTAAAAGCTTTTTATGTTTTTAACTGAAGTATTTAAATGTTAAATGAGAAAAGATCGTTGTTTTTTCTTGCGCAACAGATCTTGTGGCTATTCCTGACTTTGCCGCTGGTGCCATGGAGAACTGGGGTTTGATCACATATCGATTGACGTCTCTGCTTTATAACAAGAACAAATCTTCTGACTCAAACAAGGAAAGAGTAGCTGTGGTTGTTGCACACGAACTGGCTCATCAGGTTCGTGTACTGGGAAAATATGTCTTTTGAGATAAATCATAACCAGTACAGTTTCCTCAAATGTGATTGGTGCACTAACTACTTTATTTTTCACTGATTATTTTTTATAGTTGTAATCGGACAGTGTAATGGTACAGTGTAATCGGACAGTTGGCTATAATCGGTCACCTGTAATACGGCAGTTGAAGCAGCCAATCATTCTGAGGTAATTTAGTATTACCAACGAGTTGATAACGTAAAATTGGCCACCGTTAAGAGCTTTGAAATTCTTAACGGTAGCCAATTTGCGTTATCAAATCGTTGATAATACTAAATTACCCTGTTATACTCTCTCACCGTCGCAGCACCACAGCTTCTTCAGAAACTTACCTCCTTCAGTCACACTAAGTCCATTCAGCCAAATCCAATAAACACAGAATTGATCACAATGACCATAGCAGCAATCAGTTATCCTAAGAATAACTGGGGAATTTCCAAAATGGAGAAATTTTTAACTTTAGACATTGTCTCCATAGGAGATACTAGTTCTAGGTGTGTTTATTTTTCCGGAAATTGTAATAGTTATGATTAATTGGAAACAGGACTGAGTGGAGTCCAATTCTGTCTATAATCATACTCGTAATTAACAAATCGGACTCCAGCTTCGCGGTCGTCCGATTTTGTTAATCGTTCTTATGATTACAGACCGAATTGGAATCCACTCATTCCTATTACCATTATTCATCAAACTTCTTTATCGCATGTGATGTCTTCTTGGTTCGGTTGTTTGTTTATACCTAAAATATCAACGGGGTTAATATGTTTGTTTTTAGCTCATACGGAGATACTGATTACTGTTTTTAACACATGTAACACATTCTTTTTCAACTTACAGTGGTTTGGTAATTTGGTAACTATGGAATGGTGGAATGACCTATGGCTTAACGAAGGATTTGCCAGTTTCATGGAATTTATGGGAGTAAACCATACCCAACCAGACTGGAAAATGATGGAACTATCCATTTATGAGAACTTCCAGGGAGCAATGAGTGAAGACCAGCTCAGTAACTCTCACCCAATAATGGCTGAAGTGAAAGACCCAGCGCAAATTAATGCTCTCTTTGATTCAATTTCTTACGATAAGGTAAGACATACGCTTTAAAATTGAGATATTAAAATCTTGTTACGGTAATTACATAGGTGAAACTCTAGAACTTACATACAGAAGCTTGCGTAGCTGTCGCGTGTTCAGCATCACTAAAACGGTCTCTCCTGTTTTCAGGGAATGAGAATTAATTTAATTGGATGTTTAAAAGTTCGTTTTTTAGCAGTGTGTGAAACGAATCGATCTAATTCCTCGGTGATAAATCATTTCAGTTGATTGTTCCGTCATTAAGCTGTCACAAGAAAATCAGGGACAGTTACTTAAGCGTGTACAAACATTTTATTTGGAACTTGTTGGTTTTTCAGGGCGCAGCCATAATCAGAATGTTAGAAGATGTTCTGGGAAGCGAAGTTTTTTTCCAAGGATTACAAAAATATCTGAAGAAATACAGCTATAGCAACGCACAGACGAATGATCTTTGGCAGAGTCTTACTCAGGAAAGTATCAGCAGTGAGGTGAAATTTATCTTTCGAACGAACTGTTTCAGTCACTCCTTAATATTATATCTCTATTAATTGAAAAGGAAAGCATTGTAAGGTTGAAGCCTGCGTCCATACGTGGAAATAGCCATACTTTGTATGTATTAATTTTCGTTCTGAAACTGAGAATTTTAGCTCATTGCTTAGTGCAATATATATCTCAGCATTTGAGAGGAAAAGGACCCCCCCATTACTTAATCATTGCAGTGAATAGAATCGTCGGAAATTTCTCTTCTAATGAAAAAAAGGATGAATACCGTTTAACTGCTAGAGGGGCAACTAACCGACTTGTGGTTTTTAACCAGTTAATTCGGTGCGAGTATTGTTGGCGTTGATTATAGAGCTCGGGTGACAAGGAAGCACCGATTTTCTCAATAGATGTGATTTCCCTGTTACATTGATTTCCAAAATCACTGGCAAGCTTAAAATACTTCAACTGCAAAATCGTAGAGACACTGATAAATACGATAAAAAACACGTTAGTTTTAAGAGGGATGAGATAAGATAAGATAATGTTTTTGAAAGTCAAATACACGGGGAGTGGTCTCCCAATCTCCCAAGCCCGATGCTCATGATGTGGGATATAAGTGTTTCTTTTTATTAAGGCTGGTTTCTACGCTTCTGGTCACTGAATTTAACATGCATCCTGGGGATTGCAACGATTATTATATGGAAACAGCCAGACCTTTTGATTAAGAGCTTTCAGACATGTTTTGAAGGATTGAGCTAAGGATAACGTGAGGAAATTCATTCCATGTGTTACAGATAGAAACCAATACATTTCGTAGACTTTTGGCCTTGCTCGCTGCCAATCCAGTGTAAAGAATTTGCATTCTTTTCATCAGGAATCTTGCGAATAAAAGTAACAAAGGAGAAAAGTAAGCTAACAAGTAGTAGATGTTAAATATGAAATTCTTTGGACAGGGTGAAATTAACGTCACAGAAATGATGACATCGTGGACAAGTCAAATGGGGTTCCCTGTTATTTCCGTCAAGAGAGAAAACAAGATACTGCACATAGAACAGCAACACTTTCTTGTCCATAGTAACGATAAACAGCTAACAGCTTCTTCGTCTGACAGTCGGTAGGTGTGACCACTTGTTAAGTTTTGGTTGCTGCCACAAACAAAGTAAGGAGGGGCCCAGTTGGTGAAGTGGCGGGGCCTGCGTTAGATTCCTGGAGTTGCCTTTGCATTTAAGTTTAGTTAATTGAAAGTTTTCTCTCGTCCTTGGTATAAAAAGTTTCCTCGCCTTCTTACGTTTTCTTCCCTCGAGTTCAGGCTGTGGATGGTTTCTTTTCCTCACGACCAGTTGTCTTCTGTTTTTACAGACCAATGTGGGTAGTTCCATTAACTTTCGTAACGCAGCAATCTAAAAACAGGAGTTTGGTTTTGATGAAGAAGAGAACGATAGAAGGTAATCAACCCGTCGACTGATATTCACAAATCTCTTAGCTCATTTACAATTAGGTGGTATACTACAGGGTGGAGAGCGGTGTCATAAGAGTACAGTGAACCGTGAAACTCATTTGACCGTTTGCATCGCTGGAAACAGGGCTTTTTATCACAGTCAGCAACCTAACTATTGATATCAAAACTGATGAAATATCTTTTACCGCATGCTCTCCAAACTCAGTTACCAGTCTCCTTATTTAGTTCAAGTTTCTGAGGCCTTATTACAATACGTTTACATAGAGGCTTGTTCAATTTAACTTGTAAAGTAGTGTTATACTTTTCCTGTGAAATGGGAAAGATAGAATGTATCTTCAACCAATGCACATTACCAATTGATATTTTAGTTTTTGGTTTGTTTTCTTGCAGTTAAATTAAGTCCAGACTTGAGTGATAAATCGTGGATAAAAATGAATGCTGGACAAACTGGATTCTACCGTGTGAATTATGAAAAAGAAAACTGGGACAAACTAGTTCGTTATCTTCATACTGAAGCCAAGGTACTAATCGTTACTTCCGAGATTTATTTAATTTGAGGGAGATTGATTAAAAACGGTGATGGAAAATGAAATGAAAAATGCTACCTTCGAAAAAAAAGAACAGGTTTTACACAAAGTCGGGGCTAACCCAGTTTTTTCCTTGAAGGAACCTGTCCCTCCATAGTGATGTGAGTTAACTCCTGTTCCTATTTCGGTTGTTCTTTATTGAGGTACTGCTGTTGTATTTTGCTCAGGTATTGAGAACCGTGGACCGCTCAGGTCTGTTAGACGATGCTTTGAATCTTGCTCGGTAAGTAACCCTAATAACCCTTGTATTTTTAAGTGATTGTCGATAAGTTAGGAGAAGAGAAAGCAGTCTTTCAATCAGAAATGAGGAGATCAGTTGCTATGGTAACCCAGCCATGGCTGACTTCAAGAACACAAAGACACTTGTGTGAAGAATAAATACTTTGAGGCCAAGAATACAAATTTAGGAAATAGATGGGTAAAGGAAAGGAAACGGCAAAGTTATAAGGATATTGAATAAACCGGCATCTGCCGCTAATGCAGCCAACATATGGATATAAAGTGAAGCATGATGTTACGCAATGATTTCACGGAGTGTGAAAGTTCTACTTTCCCCCTTTTTTTCATGTTCACTGCTAGGAGCGGCATGTTGGATTATGAAGTGGCCCTAAATCTCACTTCGTACCTTACAAAAGACGTTTATTATTGGATTGTTCTGTCACTTTTTAGAAATATGTCTCGTACCTGCTTCATGATATTGCTGCTGAATTGAGCTGGGAAGAAAAGGACGATGATCCACATTTGAGGAGGTGTGTTACGCTGTACTTATTTGCTGTATTGTCCTCAATCCGTTTTTCTCCTCCATTTACAGAAATCGTGCAAAGCTATGATAAACATGCTTACAGTAACACGAGAATAAATGGCTCAATAAAATAAGGGAGTCGAAAAGAATTTTTTGTGGTACCGTTTTCATCTTAGATATCTTCGACCTGCTCTGTTGAAAATGGCCGCCATTTATGAAGATGTTCTTCCGGAAAGTAAACAGCGTTACACAGCCAAAGCTAAGAAATATTTCAACGACTGGCTTGATAAAGGCAAACCGTGAGTATCTCTTGTAATAGAATAAAATTACAAAACAAACCGGATGATATGTTCATTAAATTTAACGACGTAATGTACTTTACTTACCTTTGGCAAAACTCGTTCAGCGTATTCCATGAAATTGTTACCTAGGTTGTATATGGTATATACAACTTATTGTTATAAGTATATACGGTATACGGTCGTTCCGTACCCACGATTGTTCCGTACCTCATCGTTTTGTGCCCAAATGCAATAGAATCGCATCCAAACCGCTGATCGATTGATAAATGAATAAAGGGGGTAAGTTTCTTAAGAAACTGTGGTGATACGTCGGTGGCGGAGTATAGCAGGTAATTTAGTGTTAACAACTGAGTTGAAAACGTAAATTGGCCAAAGAGTAAAAAAGCTGACGTTTCGAGCGTTAGCCCTTCGTCAGAGCTCTTACGAAGGGCTAACGCTCGATACACTTGTTTCAATTACCTCAGTCGCCAGCGCGTGAACAGATATCATCGTTGTCTACGACAAGTTCGTAGAATCAAGCGAGTAACATATAAACAAAAAATATATTTTGTGTAGACTTGCGACCTTCTTAACAAAAAAAACTTGATTACTGCCCAGCGCAAGACAAGTGTGATATTTTTAATAGAGAGTCTATTGCTCATACTTGTGACTCTTTTTGCAATGTAACAGCTCGTGTAGATGTGAGATCTTTTCTCCAATTGTTAACTTTATTAGTTTGGGTACGAAACGACTCAACTGACTGGGTACAAAACGACTGGTACGAAACGACCGTGGGTACGAGATGACCAGTAACCGTGTATACATCGTTGACCAACTGTCCACTTTCCAATAGCTTAGTGAAGGGGCTTGTCACCAACAAACATGAAGGCCCTGGGTTCAATTTTTCTCTAGTTATAGCCAGCGTAACTGGCTGTTTGTTGGGCGCTCAATGAGAATTCAGGCGGTGGAGCCGCCAAGAACAACAGATAAGCTCTATATTTTCACGTTCCAGACCTCTCATGGCTTCAGCGTTCTTCAGTTTTCGCAGCTCCGACGATCAACCCTTAAAAGAGAACTCGAAGCCGCTGGCTACTCAGTTTACATGCACACTCGTTACAAATGACCTGAACATCTTTCTTTTCTACTTTACTTTCACTATAGGATTTCACCGAATGTTCGTTACGCCATCTACACGATTGGATTAAGAGTAGCAAATGACTCTGTGTGGACGAAAGTTTTTTATAGATACCAGACTGAAACAGTCCCATCGGAAAAGAAAAAGTTGATGTACGCGCTCACAACTAGTCAGAACGAAGTCATTTTAAAAAGGTAAGTGGTGAAAAAATACCTCAATTTGTGTTCAGAGAATTTCAAATAAAACCCATATCCTATTTTGAGTGTTTTTCTTTGTTTTTTGTTTTCATCATTTTTCGTGTCTTTGTTATTTGATTGGTTGTTTGTTTGTTTGTTTGTTTTTTTTATGGCGGCTATTGGTAAGTAGGCGCGCTTAAGAGATGGAAAACTATCTGTGTGAGGGTCTGGAGCCATCAAAGAATTTTATTTAAATGTGAGTTTAGCGATGACGATGGTGAAGACGGTGATGATTATGAGGACAACTTTAAAGAAATTACAGCAAGCAGCTGTTGAATCTCATGAACTAATAAACTTTTCTTTATTACAGATTGTTGAAGTATTCATTGGATGAAACTAAGATTCGTTCCCAGGACTCCGTGTCTGTCATAGATTCAATAGCCCGCAATCCTCAGGGGAGTTTATTAGCGTGGCAGTTTGTACAGGATAATTACCATGAATTGTACCAAAGGTAACCTGTAATTGTTTGAATTGTGAGTATAAAAAGCAACTGAGACACCCATTTTCTTACTCGTAGACCTCATTTTGATTGATACGGTGAAGTTAGGCATATGGAAGTAAATGTGATTTTCTTTTCAAGAATCGGAAGACCGTTCAAACAAATAGTTTCCTAATCTGAGTAAGTTTAAGTCTCTCCGCTCGAGAAACTTTGAGGGGAGGGGGATGATGGAAATAACGTGTTAGGGGTGTCAGTGGTTTTCTGGTCCAGGTATTTGTACACACACGCAGGCAAACAAATGAAAGCCGAGATTCCAGACCAACAAAGTTGACAGTAACTTTTTTGGTGAAATCTCAAAGCAAGCTCGAGTTTTTTTTTTTCTAGTAATAACTGAGCACGATTTGTGTACGATCTGTTTACCGACAAAATTGTTTCAGAGCAAAAATCAACTGCTCAGGTCGATTCCGCTTTGATTTTTAATCATTGCTCATTTTTCTCTATTGAATTTTCCCCTTACAGTATCTTTGGTTACTTAATAAAATTGTTTCACCATTCACTTTCATTTACCTCCCTCGGCAGATATGGGGTCGGCTCTTTTGATTTTAGTCGTTTGATCACGTCGAACACCGCTCACTTTAACACAGAGGAAATGAAAACCCAGGTGAGAAACATTACCACTTCTATGGAAAGTTGCCATCAGATGTGTCCATTCATTCTACTATATGGAATAAAGATTGTAAGATCCTTTGATAATATTCTTAACCTTAGAGAGTCATGTTGCATCCAATTCGCAATTATAAGGGATGTAGTGGCCTCATGTTCAATGTGCAAGTGCGCTAGACTACGGGGCGAGTGTTCAGGGTTCGGGACCTGGCCGAATGATTGTCTCGTGTTGTTGGGCAAAACCCTTTATTCTCACAGTTCCTCTCTCTCTCTCTCCACCTAGGAGTATAAATGAGTGAAGCCTGATGAAATTCTGGGTAGAAGCCCTTGATGGGCTGGCATCCCATCCAGGGGGGGATGGTAGTACTTTTAGTCGCTTTAGTCATGCGAGATAAGCTCCGACTCGTTCTTAGGGGCCACTCGGCTCCACTACAGACTTCAATTGTAATTTGCTTCGAGTCGAGTGTTTCACGGTTTTGGTTTGAAACCACGCAGTTGATTTGAATTCGAGCGAACACATAGCGCAAGTTTGGGTTAAAATCAACTGTTTAATTTCAAACTTAACTCGCACCACAGTTTAATGCCATGTTATTTCACCCATTTTATGTTTGTATTTATAGGTTAGCCAGTTTTTCGCGAAGGTTAACCAAGGATCTGGGGAGAGGGCTGTTCGTCAAAGTCTGGAAAGTATAGAAGGAAATATAAAATGGATGAAAGACCACGGACCTGCAGTGAATAAATGGTTGAAAAACTTTCTCCATGGAAAAAACGTCAGCAAGTAGTATCATTACGTGATCTGTCGCCGCGATTTCCCAAAGCACGGTTGAATATGCACGACAGCGGAACGATTTCATGTAGTAAAACAGTCGATCCACATGTACAGTGACGACTCTAAATGTGATAGAGGTGTATCTTTAGTATAGGTGTGACAAAAACTTCAGTAACTGCATTGGATTGGAAAACGTAAAAGAACAGGGACAAGGCATTATATAGTTTGACTCTAGTTTGGGTTATAGAGCTTTCCCAGTACACCCGAAGACACACTCAGTATTCCAGTCCTTATATCTAACTGGTAGTGACATTTAAAATCGGCGGTAGAGCTGTGCCATTTTTTTAATGAAATTGCACCCAAATATTCAAAGCTCATATCTATTAGCTTCCCCTGTATTTTTCTGGTAATAATTTTCAACGTAGAAACAAACACTTGTACAAAAATGATTCCACAATGGGAGTTGCCTGAGACTGTATGTAATGCTTTCAATTACTGACCAAACACTTTTACATTTTTCTTACCTAAAACTATGCGTGTTTTCATTCTTAAAACAAAGTTCATTAAAAAACGAAAACGAGATTTTGTTGTTTGACTTTCCATCCGCTTGCGAAGTATTTACTTTCACATCCACGCCTCGTCTGAAAGTTCTAGCAATTTCAGCCTGCATATCTAGATATATCCTTAGGGAAAGCGGGGTAGATTTGGCGTTTGTGGTATTGTCTTGTGATTTCCTCCTGGGCAATGTGAAAACAATGTTTATGAGTGCTTAGTGTGTCATCGCTATCCTAGAGATAAAGGGCGATGTAGGTTTTCTTATCTGCAGCGATAAGTTGAACCACTTATCCATGGGTCTCTTCAGACTTCTTATTCAATTGCACTCGTTAATTCTTCATTATCCACTGTGTTTTTGTGTATAAGTGGTTTACTTATCTCGACGTATTATTTAGGCTTCGTCAAAATAAGGTCAGAAATGTCACCTACCGATGTAACATTTAGCAAGCATCTTAATCTGCCAGTAATTCAGAGATCTTCACACGTTTCATGAAATGCTGTATTGAACTACAGCCGGTAAAGCGGCAACGAAGTACCTGTTCTTGGCGACTTTCGTGTTCTTTTACATCAAAAGTTGCTCTGCGCTGCTTTAGGGTAAAATTTCCGCACAGCCCCATACTATTGTAAAACAAATCTGTTTTCTCAATGGCAATGCATTATTTTTTTCATTGTTTTCTCTATCCGAGAATTGAATGCATAATGTAGTATGCGGCTGTGCGAAAATTTTACCCTGCTTTAGTTCAAAAGTTGAGACTCGACTCTGGTTAAAAAAAATCCTGTTCGTCGATTAATACGCGTCCGGTTATCAGTCAGGCTATGTAACTGTCATGCACTTTTGCGGTGACTGCTCTGACAGCTTCGCTCTACAGATTTTATTGATGTCATAAATAGTGTCAATCAATTGAAATTTATACTGATTTCATGAAATAGCTACGTTTGACCAGGTTTATGTACAGTGTGAAAATGGTCTTTAATTGTGTAGGCCGAAGAAAACTTCGGCTAACCAGGAAAATTTACATCTGGCATTTTAAAGTTGATAAATTTGAATGTATAGAGTAAAGCACAGTAGGTGGATCGAAGTAAACTCCTGCTCACTGAGAAATGTTCAAATGCTACTGAATAAATGAATGGATTCAAAATGTAGAATAAAGCATACTATTTGGTAGAAAATCTAAGGAAACTCCAGCTTCAAAGGACAAGTACTAAGACGGCTGATCATCTATTGATGGGCATCAATTCATTTTACTCTAATCAGCTGGCGGTAAATGTTATTAGCTTTCCTTCACAGCTTTACTCTTCAGGGACTTTAAGAGCGTCCTTCTTTGGTTTGGCTTCACTGAAAGGCTTATTCACCTTTTGCAATGGAATATTTTGTCCATAAAACTCTCCTGAAATATCTGACGCGCAAAAATAGACAAAGTTTGCCGTGATCATATATTGGATTTGACATGGCACCGTTTTTATTATACTTCAACTAAGGAACAACACCATGGAGCACTTTGACGTCAGACGCGCTCTTAAAATGAGGGTTGTGCGCAAGAGTCTTGCTAATGAGGGGGTTGGGGGAGGACGGGGGCGTAAAACAGACAGAGCACTCTCAACTGATGCCTTATTTCGTGAACTTTCATTCGGAGGACCGCAAGGAAATTCAAGGGAAAAGAGAATTCAAATAAAAATTGAACTGTGTCATGTGTGAGTGTGCATTATAAGATGCAGCTCAGCGTACTGTCATCTAAACAGCTCGTATTTTCGAAGGCATGTGCTTGTCACTAAGATACCGAAGTCGTCAATTGATTTTGACTGAAGTAAAAAAAAATTACTTAAATACAAGAAAATTATTAAGAACAAAAGTTCATCCTCCAGATACGAGCGTGATATTAATTCATAGTTTTTATCATATACAGGTATTTGGAAGGTCTTCCCAACACGTTGATTTAGTGAGTTTCTGTGAGATCACAACCCACCAAACCAAAAAGGCTGCGTAGTTTAGGAGACTAAATAGTGCCATGGAATTAAATAGATATGAGTTTCCCTTTAGGGACTGACGTCTGCTATTTGGTATTGACTTCTTAATTCGTGACGAACGTAGCAAGCCTCTGTTCGCGTGAAAATGGAACGTTGAGAGTAGGTTAAAATAGAATATTTAGAAAAATTCAGTGACGGCTGATGATATTTGTTCCTCTTTTGTGAAAAACAACCGGAGATCAAAACACTCCTACTGTCATGTGAAAAAGTTTTGTCATTCGTTTTTTGAAATTTCGCCCTCAATTTTTAATTTCCAACTTTTTGAAATTACAATACTCGTTCTTTGTGTCTTTGCTTATTTCTATGTTCCAAGTAAACGAAGTACAGTCAGAGATGCCTTGTTGCTAATACGGTTGCTGGTAACTGAAAAACTCTTTTCTTGATTCTGATATTTAAGACATCAAGGAAGAAATATTGGCCACCCACAAAAGATCAAATATAACCTACTTAACTTAAAACTTCCTCGGAATATTATCGTGTCAGTTTTAAAATTATTCCGTCCATCACTCGCTGATTTTGTTGATGGTTTACTTACGCAAATTCACCTGCGTGGGCGAACCGACTTTCAGAGATGGAAAAATATTGGAATAAACTGATCCAGTGTCCTTAAGATAAAACTAGAAGAAATCAAAGACTAGGTTTTAAGATCAAATGAAAAAGAGAAGAAGAAAGACGCTGATTGATTGTTGTAAATATCCCTCCCTAGGGGATCATCTCTAAAATATTCAGCGAAAGTACCTATAATTATCTTGACGGTAAATGTTTTTTACTATTTTTTTCTTCCTTTGCAAATATCATCTTTGCTCAACACATTTATAGAAAAAGTCTTAATTTAGAGGCATTAAATTTTTTGGCTCTCTCTTGGTCCAACAAAGGTCGTAAATGCGTTTTTTGCAAAGCTTAACGTGAGATTAGATCACAGATAACGTCGCACGCACTAACAAGAGGATGCAGCTGCGTGCGCCGCCTGTCAACTTATTTATTCAAAATGCTAATATCTATTCCGGACTATGAAATCAAATAGCACAGAGGAATCTGACTCCTCAAGCGTAGAATTTGAAGATCATATCGATATTTCGCTTCTTCCCGACAAGAAACACCATAGAAGAAAAAGAATCCGAGATTCAAAGTTCGTGTGCGGAATTTGGCAAATGTTCGGCGGGAAGAACGCCGCTTACGGCGTTGCGACAGCTGTGTTGTTGGTTTCAGTGTTTCTTATCGTCGCGTTCGCTCGGCCATCGTCTTCTTACGAAACTGCGAACAAGAACAGTAGAAAGAATTCTCGTTATGAACAGGCTAAAAATCCTTCTAGTCTGGGACATGGAAAAGAACAGAAAGGCTCGCATTCACTACGGCTTCCAAGACACCTAGCACCGATCGAATATCTCCTATATTTACATCCTGATCTAACAAATTTTGATTTCTCTGGGAAGGTTGATATTCTTCTCCTCTGTCATGAAACCTCTACCAACATAACCCTTCATGTAGGAACAAAAATGGATTACTTTGATGTGGCGGTTGCAAGAGTCGAAGGCGAAAACATTCTAGAGACGTTAACTGTGACGGAAACTTCTCGACTGCCGGGAGAAATGGTTGTCATAAGTCTCGCCACTGAACTTCAAAAAGGGAGTCATTACTTTCTTGTGATGAAGTTCAAGTCAAAGTTAAGTAGGGGACTTGCTGGATTCTACCTAAGCAAATATCGTGCATCTGGCGAAACGAGGTAAGTTTCTTTTTCGTAGTTTAACCAGACAATTATTGACCTTAGAAGAAATAAATCGCGGGAATCCCTTTCATTTGCTGTATGATTGGCTTCGTCTTTCCTTGCTAAAAATGTATGGCTCTGATGTAGAAAAATTTTTCTTGAAATACGAATTGATGTTTAGTTAAGACTTCGTGTAAAGATGTTTTTGAACAGAAATTAAGGTTTTTGTCGTGTTTGCTTAGACACGGGTATTTGCTTTCAAAGAGGTATATCTCGTTTCTTCTTGTTTAATTGTATTTTCATGACCAACCTTGTGTGATCGTATTTTTGATTTCAGTATTTACGAAATAGCTTTGCTTATAGGAAGTGTGAAAAAGTTCTTTATTTTTCCTCGCACTTTTATTTTTCTGATATTCTTCTATTTAAAGATATGAAGTATAGCGCGGTATGAAACTCACGGGAAAGAAAATTTAAATGTGCCGTCAAATTAATCTAAATACGCTAGGAAGAGACATCGAACGAAACTCGGATTAGTAAGAAAATTTACATTGGCATGAAGTAAGCAAATAAATGTATAAATCAAAGCGCATTCGACAGATTGGACTATACTTTGGCTCACTGGAAAGATTCTCTGATGGTATGAAATAGATAAGTATAAAGATGTAAATAAATATGTAGAATAAAGCGCATAAAACTTCTTAACATTAGGTCTTTGTCCATAGATTACTTTGAACTTACCCAAATATATTAGTGCTTTAAAGTTTATCATTTGATAACCAATTCATACCCGTCTGGCTAAAGATGAAAAACAGCTCATGCAGTTTAATTTATTAATCAAATGTTGAAGATTTGTGATAAGACATAAGGGCAGCATTGAAAAGTTAGCCTATGCTCATTTTTGTTTTAAACATTTTCTTCTCTTAAAGGGAGGTAAATAATAATGAAATAATAAAAATAATAGTCAATGTACCATGGTTTGTGCAAGTATCTTTCAATCTTTGATGTAAATTGTGCTTATATTCTGTACTGCATTCTACAGTCTTATTGCAGCTATTAATTCCCCCACAAGAAAGCATTTCACATTGTCTTAAATATATTTCACTGTGGTTATCAGTTAACAGGAAGTAATTGTAAAATTCTGCATTTTCCATCAAAAATGAAAAAAGCCAAACACTGAGTATAAAGCCATGTTACCATGCACTCCCTTAGAGTTTTAACTGAATTTTGGATCACTGGAGAATCACTCACTTGTTTTACATGTATTTTTGTCTATATTTAGTTCTTTTGATAAATTAAT